TTGGAGTCTAAAACAGCTAATTAACATGGAAAAAATGCAAGGTATAAATCTGGTACAAAATATAAGAAAATGTATCATTTATTCATAGCATTCATTTCCAAGATAAATTTTAGAAAGCATAACATAAACAAAACTACGTACCACGTGTACAATATGTTAAATGTCTTTAAGAAGTAAATAGAAAATGTAGATTTTTTTCTGGTTAAAGGTTTAAGCAAACTTATGGTTTTACTTATTAACCTAATTAATAGCAAATTTAACATGAAAAATACAAATTAAATAAATCTGGTTAGAATATAAGAAAATGTGTAATGAAAATAATTTCCATTATAGATCAAAAGTTATTTCTTCATAAGTTTATAAGCTTTTTTAACACTTCTTCCCATGGGTGTCTATCATACATATATGTAAAATTGTTGTGTATCTGTTACTTAAAAGCACGGATATTGTACAAAATTAGATTTGTAAAAGTAATTTGGTGACAGACAACAAAAAAAAAACAACTAAATAACAAACAACGGGAGTGGCGATTTTGTTATGATGTTGAATAGGACTAATATATTCCGGTATCAAGTTTACATATAAATCAAATTTATACAAAACGCATATCTTTTATACCTGTTTTATTAAATATCAAATAACAAGAGGTTTTAAGATTGAGTCATTGCGTCTGAACATTTTTACCGACAGCGTTTCAGACAAAATGACACGTGGTTTGAATGGTTTTAAAATTTACTTAAAGTATTTAAAGTTTATGCTCAAATAATGACTGGGTAAACTTTTCTACTGGCATTTGAAAGAATTTAAATAATATAAGATGTGAATGCAATCTTGTTACGAAGGTATTTCCTTTCACTCTGTATTTTTAAAATATATATCAGTTATCAACTAGTATTAAAAGCTTGTATTGTCTATATATGAGCAGCGCCATGACAAAAAATCATAGTGCGTTTGCGACCAGCATAGATCCAGACCAGCCTGTGCATCCGCGCAGTCTGAACAGGATCCATGATGTTTGCTATCAGTTTCTCTTCTTGTAATAGGGTTTTTAAAAGCGAAAAATCAAGTATACTATTTTTGATTGTCATGTTGCAAATGACCAGTCTTGTAAGGCATGTACCGTCCGATTAGCTCAAAAGGAAGAACGTTGGACAGTAAATCGCGCGAACCGGGTTCGATTCCCGGACGGTACAGGTAACGATCTAAGGTCATTCGCAATTTTCAGTACAGAAGTTATTCGTTCCTTGCAAAAATGAAGGCAACTAGTACTGATAAACTGATTGCCTTCCAAGGGACGATGCGGTGGCTGAAATCTACTCTGGTAAATTCAGTCTTACTGCCGTGATTCCTACACCACTTAATAGGTATGTTAACATCTGTCTTTAAAGTAGAAAGTTTGACAAATGTAAGATTTTAATAAAATAAATATGAAACAACATTTGTTGGTCAAATAGCAGAAACAGCAAAACTTTAAGTTTGACTTCCATCTCCATTATTTATATTTCTTATTGAACAATTTAACCTTAAGAGAAGGTGAGCCAAAAATCATATTCTTGTTTTGATGGTAAATAAAGTGCTTGTAAGGGGAAAAAAGTTTATTAAAAGAAATGTCATTTCCGAACTAAGCAACCTCTCTAGCATACAAAACCATAATTTTAAACAAAAAGGAAAACAGAGACATATAAATAAAACGTTAAATATAGTGTTTGTAAGGGGAAGAAACAAGTTTAATCAAAGAAATGTTTTCAAAGTTAGCAACCACTTTAACTTACAATTATTATTATTTTAAATTATTATTATTTATACCATTATTTAAAAAAAAATAAAGGCATATAAATAAAACTTTTAAAGAGTCACATGAATGAATACACTTATTACACTTATTAACTTATTAATATTATATGATATAATTAAAACAGTTGTTTACAAAAGATATCTCATCTACATGTATATATTCTGTTCTACTTAAACTCTTAAACAAAATTGTCTCATAACGTCTTACATAACAATAAAGTCCCCATATAAAGTTATTACTTCAATCGATCTAGAATGAATTCATTTCATTTCGTGGGCATGACATTTTGGGAAAAACACAGTATCGTCGGTTCTTAATTTCGCGGATTAAAAAATAAGAAATTAAAATGCAAATATCTTTTAAAAAATAATCGTTTAAAAAACGACATCAAATTTAGTGTGAACTTAAAATCTTGGATAGTCCTATCCACGAAACCATGATAATCTGTGTCCCACTAACAATAATAACATTTTAGTAATCACCATGTTCTATTGATATTTGTCTATGAGATTGAACCTATCCCACTTAATCAACTTAACTCATCTTTATAAAATTATCAAACAAATAACATTCAACAGCATAAACAATAAGTTCATAATAACTACTTCATATGTTTAATAATAAAATGCATAAGTTCAAAAGGATCATACATATTTTCATAACTTGGCATTCATACTAAATATATAGCTAGTTCATACGTTATATAATAATATGCATAAGAAACATACACATTTTCGTAACTTAGCATTAATACTTATTAGTTCATATTATACATATTAATATACATAAGCTCATAGGAAACATACACATTTTCATAACTTAGTATTCATACTAACTAGTTAATACGTTACATATTAATATGCATAAGTTCATAAGGAACATACACCTGTTCATAACTTAACTACAGCTTATACAGTAAACACACAAAATACAACAATCGATTTTACATTTAAATATTTCTTCACAAATATTCTGCTCTAAATGTTTATAAGAAATTATTATAGTTTATAAGATATACAAATGCAATGTTATTTATATCAATCAAAAGCTTCCTTGTTAAAATTTATATATGCAAAATAATGTAAAATGGCACTCAGCTTCGACTATTCCGTTGGTGAATGCAATCGTTATTTAGTTAATATTGTCAAGTTTCAATAACTAAATTGTATGTTCATATACGAGATAAAGTAAGATGTGTTCTCAAACCAGTCGTTTTATTTGTTACATAGAAAGTTTTCAAATTCATTTTAAATGTGTGTTCAGCATAGGCATTAGCTAACTATCTGTATATTTTCTATATTCTTCTTTGAATTTATCTGAAAGTACTAATATCAACATAAAAATTTAAACACATATTACTCAAGCTATACTGGATAAATATAATTAATCATAATTAGTTTCAAAGATATAACTATTTTGAAATCAATATATAACTATCTTTACATTAATTAAAATCACTTTAATCATCATTATGTACAGAGCCTTTTATTTTAATTAAAAAGAGTTATTATATTGTCATAAAATGTTGCTCTCACCTTTTTTCAAAGAAAAACACAAAGGCATGCATCAAGTATTATTTTAAGACATTTCTTTTAAAACTAGGGGGTTAAATATTTTTAAAAGAAAAAAATATTTCAGCACACAATCGGGAATATTTCAGCACACAATCGGTCTATTCGTACAAATCAACATGAATTTTACATATTTGTTTCTTTTTCTACCATCGGGATATAAAATAACACTATAATGCCATTTACCTTACTGATATACGAAAAAAGTACATACGATGCAAATTTTCTTGTTACATATATCATTTAATAGATCAATAATCAACATTGTAAAATAGGTACAAAAAAAATTAAAAAAACAAGATCTTTGCTTGAAATGACTATCAACAATACTTGGGAAAATTGAGTTGTTATTATTTCTATATCTCTTTTACTGTTTGACTTTCATTTTCATTCTGTACAATACTTTCCTAATAAAAATGGAACAATTAATGAAAAGAAAAGCTATCATAAACCTTTTGAATATACAACAGGGAAATCTACAAATTAAAAAAGAAGTAAAATTTACGTTTGCGTCTTCTCATTTAATATCAATTTAAAACTATTTCTATTTGTATCTTTATCAATAACTAAAATCATTCACTATATATGTATCATTAGTATCTAATCAATTAAAATTAGCTTTTTCATCATTTAATGGATCTCACTATCTCTTTCCTTAAGTAATGTCATTACGGATTTTCACTTTGACTGCTCTTTCCTGCAAAACTATTTTGAACAAAATCTACAAATATACACACTTACTTATATATCAAGCATCATATTTTACATCAGTTTTAACATGTCAATATCTTATTCGTTATAAGCAATTCAAAATATGAAAATAAATTGTAGAAGTATTTTTTTTCAAAATTTTTTTGGCTCACATATGAATATAAGGACAATGGTGTTTATCGACAATGCAACTTCCTTATAAATAACGCTTTAATTGACTTCAGCGTATTATGTAAAGACTAATACACATCAAGATGCAAGTTATAATGAAATATAGTATTACTTTCAATTAATATAAATAATGCGTTGCTAATTTCTGTATTAAAGTCTTTACTATGATTATAACAAATATTAGAACAAGATGGTGCAAATAATAAAACATACATTAAGAACAGAAAAGTGAAAGATAAATATAAAGGAAACATGAGCTAACTCAATGACAACTGACTTATTTCAAGTTCACTGTGACTTTTACGATTATTTAATAAAGAGATATTTATCAAGCTCATTTTAAGCGGCACGTTTGTATATTGTAAATATTTTAAACCCCATGAGCGTACTTTCCAAGTATATATGATCCCATGGCCATGAGATCGCCGTGTACAATTAAGTCGTAATCCGACTCGTTGTCAAGATGAAGAAAATAAATGATGAAAATAATTTAATCTAACTTATCACGATATATAAAAAAAATTGATATGCAATGAAAATGTATCTTCAAATCAACTAGAGCGCAAACAAAAGCATTTAAATTTTCTATAGAGAAAAGGTTTCGCAATCTATAGAAAATAACGAATTCTTTTTCTCAGTTTTTGTGTTCAGTTATAATGTATCATTTCAATTTGAAAAAAACAACCATTTAAATTATTTCATTAAAAAGTAAAAAAAAAATATTGAAGAATTTGAAACAAAAATTGTAAATAGAGGTTAACATGCAACAAAATATTACTTTATAAAAACATGTCCATATGACAAACTAAAGCTAATCTTGACAAAAATGTAGTACATAAATGACTAATTTGAAAAGACTTCACATACAAAAGTCAATCATATATATTTTTGCATTATATTTAAACATTTTTATCAGTTTTTACTGTTCGTCATTTTATTCAAATCATGAACATTTGTTACTTAAAATAACAGTACCAATTTTGTCACTCGTATTACTTTTAAGAGATTTCTTGAAGTCTATTGTACCATTCACTGTTACTTTTCTGTATGAATTGTAAGACTTAAAACCATCACATAAAACTCAGCTATTCTTTATTTGAAGGACAATATGTATTCTGGGTATGCTTGGGTATCGTTAAAAACAACAAACATTTTGATGTTATTAGGGTCATTAATAACAGAATCGTACAGGCTGTGTGGTCCACCGGAAGGTTTTTCTGGAGGTTGTCGCAGTCCGTGTGACCCTTTGGTGTATTCACCAGTGAGTACTCGACAATAATACATTCTCTTCACACCATTTGGGTCTGGTACAGAGTAAGTATTATCACATGAGTAATCAGCTTCAACGGCAAAATAGACACCTTTGCCAAAGGCAACAGCTGAAAAAATTATCAGGTTTGTACATATGGTATATCAAGTAAACTGAACAGCAAGGTAAAGTAATTTTAAAGTGTCTCATTTAAACGATAAGTATCAGTTCTAAATCGATATACTCGTACTTTTATCATTCCACAAGTGAAATAGAACCAAGAAAAGCATTTTAAACACATTTGTACAATCTTTCATCAGACATATTCATTGTATTGAATATAGGAAATGAAGTAGAAACAATAAATTTAATTGAATGGCACGTTTCATAACGTGACCGATTAAAAAAAAATAAAGCAGTGCATAAAAATACAAGACGTGTATTGAGCATGAGTATTGAACATGACTGTAGTATTTAACATATGATACATTTGAGATACGAAATATCTCTGTTAATTTAAAGGTCCTTACTTAATTTAATCTATATTGCAGTAAAAATCAATAGTTTTTTATATTCTTTTACCATTTTGTGCACAAAAACTCCTATTGAATCCATGGGCATATATGCTGTCAACTGCGTCAACTCTTGTACCATGCCATAACATTCTTTCATTTTGCGTTCCTGGTTTATTTTTTTCTTCTAATTGTTTTAGTTTGCTTTGGTATTGTTCCCAAAGCGTTTTATTTTGCACTCTCTGGATCTAAGTGTAATGTAACATGGGTGTTAATTTTGCCAATACACAACTATAATGTTCGAAAATGTTATTTAATTTATGTATCTCATCAATGTACGATTATTCATTAAGAAATGATTAAATCCCTTCTAAACTGCCCTTTCATGTCCTTATTTATAGTATAAGGACTATATTTGACTATATTAAAGTGTCTCTAGTATGTTATCATTTTCTAAAACAGGAAGTTTCTTTAAAAAAAGATACTCGGCCGAAGTAAAACTGGTTAACATATAAAATTATGCTATGCTATTTTTAAGGTTTTCAATACAGAAAGAAATGTTTGCAATGCTTGTACAACAATGACATAATGATAATTTCTTGTAAGAAAATACCCATTTTGTAAACATTGAAAATAAATCATAGCATATTGATATTGATGAGTTTCAAAGAAGGACTACTTCTAATTAAGTGTACCTTTTACTTGTTTTACGTTTGACTATAAATTTTGTTATCACTTACAAATTAACCTAAAAATAAAAAAACTATATATTCTTATTCCTTTACATTATATTTTAGAACTATCCTTAACATTTTATTTTAAAGTGACAAAACTATCTCTTACATTTTATTTTAGAGCTATCCTTAAAATGGTAAGAACTATCATTTATATCTTACTTTAGAAAGGTAAGAACTCTACTTTACAATTTATTGCAGAATGACCAATGAGATTCACCCATTTCAGTTTGTAATTTAAAATGACCAATGAAAATTCTTCTTATATTCAGTCCTTTCCTGTTAATTTTACAGGAAGTCAAACTGATAACAGACGGACTCTGTCCGAAAAAGAACTTTACAGCTTCAACTTTTAAAAACATATCTGATCATCTAAATTTACCGGAAACTTTCGCAAGTCATCTTGTCAAAACCTTACTATAAGTTAGAGGTGGGAACTATTTATAAGATTAAAAAAGACATTAATTATGACCAGTGAAAAGAAAATCAACATTTCACAGATTTAATAGATTTTTAATGTTAAAATCCAGTTTTAAAGAGTGACATGGAAAAGACATTACTATAAGTGTCACTTTAAGTATGACCTTTAATCTGCTTCACTAATGAGTCATTTCCTGGAAATGACCAGTCTTCCTATTAAGAATAAAAATAGCGTGTAATTGAGCAGACAGCGCTGTGGATAGCGGTTGTTTAGAGAGACAGACGGACGGAACAGATATACGGGCAAGCGTCATGACAGACAAGTGCCATGACAATTCAGTCACTTTTGAGATTATGAAAATAGGTCTCGTATATCTGATTTGGGTATCTTATGTCATAGGCATCTGTGTTTATTTCTTGAATATACAAATGTGGCGTGCTGATTCGCTATATAAAATCGATAAAAAGCAGTTTATTCTTGTCATAATACTTAAACAGCCTTCTTTTTATGAATTTAGAAAGGCACTGTACATCGTTTATCCCTACTATTGGTATATGCAATTAATTGGTTTAAAATTGGTCATCTCTTAAGAAATACGTTTGGGAAAGTCAAATACAATCTCTACCATAACAACATATGGACACCATTTCTATAGTATTATCCACCAAACATGACACATTTTTTGCCTGAAATGAGTCCATAGTATACGGATACCCACGATATTTGACATGATTTTTGTGCGTAACATAACGCTCTGATGAAGGTGAACACATCTGCCAAATGTTTAAGCAATCCGTTTGGAAATGAAAAGAGCAAAGAAGACACCACATACGATTTATCCTTTAACCTTATAGCATTTAAATGACTTTAAAGATGCACGTGTTGGGTTATGTATGCCACACATCCAGACACGGTATAAAGTAACAAATATCTATTTGAAATCAAATCAAGTGCTTGCCTGGTTGATTGGAACTATTTTTATGTTAATTTTAAGAGACAAACGAAGACAATGAGCACTCTATCCATCTTTAAACTATATTTTTAAATTTTACTTGAAGATGTTTTCATACCGGATATTTAAACTCTAGCTCTTGGTGTTATGAGATGGTACTATTTAAGGTGACAACAGACACTTTTCGTGGTACTCACATAAATGTCATTTAAACCAAGTTATTTTAGTAATAATTGTTATTTATTTAATCTTTGTGCATTAAATGTCGTTGATCATCATAAAAAAAACATATTTGAAAAAATGCCTTTGTAAATAATTGATTTTGAATAAAAATCCTAAAATTTTAAATCGTCATATCAAAGTCATTTTTTATTTTTTTGTCATCAAACTTTTGGAAAATAACCATACTTATATTATCTGGGGAACCGTGTCTCAAATTTTTTCTATCTTTTCTCAAAAAAATATTACGTAACGTCAAACATTTTATGCGACTTTTTTCACCATACATATTACGTAATTAAAGATAATTAAGTCGCTGATTGAGCAAACAAAAATCCCTGACACGGTTCCAACCGTGAATGAATTTCCTTTCATGTGCTTTAAACCGCATGTTAATCGCTTGATTATTAAAAAAGTAATGCCGATTCAAAGTTAGTCCGACCCGCGTCAAACGAAGTGTCATAAATCGGCTGTTCTCTCTCGGACCCCTACGTTTCACGCTAAATAATTGCATAATACACAAATATCGCACCAGAGGGTCACAAGTTGCGGTAACATACTCTAACAACATTTTATGACCCAGTGACATCTGACCAATTAAAAAGCTGCTGATTAATATCAGTTTATAGCCGAAATTTCTTCAATTCTTAACGTGATTTACTGTCCGTCTGGTATCTGTCGCACATGTCACGTGACTATCGGTAAAATTTGAGGCACTCAGTGGGGGGAAATGGAACGCATTTGCGCACCGCTAGCGGGGTATTTAATTGTTTCCTTTTTGAAGTTTATTTTTATTATCATCAGCATTATTATTGTATTATACCAGTGTCACTCTGCCTGTGTATTCGTGTATGAAATTCCGTTAAAATATAAAATAAAATAACAAAAAACTGAGCTTCTGACAGTCTTTTAAAGTCCATGGTAGATCGATGTACAAATAAGAACGGGATATTATATATTTTTTCCACCAAATTAATAATGCTTCACATATTTTAATAGAAATAAAAGGTATTACTCGATCATTATGATCTGGCCTTCTTGATTCTATTATCATGAATATCATCTATGCACGGCATAGAGATCCAGTTTCTACCGGGATAGACAATAAATTTCATACTTTGTCCCAGATTTATTAGTACTGTGTCCGATTTACTGGCGTCCAATTTATTTTCACTGAGAATATATTTTAATATCTTGTTTTTTATTCATAGAGAAATAATCATCCTTAGACAATCTAAAATGGTTTAGAAATTTGTCAGGGACACCTTACCACAAGTCATATAGGCGTTCACATAAAAAATGTTGTCTGTTTTTGTTGTTGTTTTACTTGACATTGTTAGAAAACGAGGTTGAATGTAAAGTAAGCCCTTGAATCCGTACAAAAGTCTATCAACTCAATGTAATATCTATCAGATGAACGGGACAGACATATTATTTTCACACATTATGGATATTTTAGCAACTACATTTTCAATCAACCCCGTGGTCGTGCGATTTGCCGCTATGCTTAATTATTTATGTTTCATACATTATGTTACGTACATTGGCCGACAATTTCTTAATTTATAAAAAAGGCTAAATGTTGAGATGTTCATAAAAATGAACGGTAGTTGTACGATACATGTATTACGAGAAGTATGGACCAGTATGGACCTGTAATTCACGGATATATGGAACTACCGATTTCCCTTATTGATGCCTCAACAGGGGGCGGAGCGTTATCGATAATCGACAGGTTACGCGAATTTCAGATACAAATAGTATAGGTACCGTTTTAAAACGTTTAAAAACACATTTTTTGGACTAACTGCTTCCAAAATTAAATCACGAATGTGTTCAGAAAAGGTTGATAAATCTACTTAGCAAAAAATCTCATTTTAGGTATTTTCAGTGATAATTGACTCCGTTGTCACCTTAAATGCTAAAGGAAAATACTTACATATTACTTAAATAAATAAAGAAAGTATGTGATATGATTAGGCCTTCAAAACTGTTTGACTTATTGTTTCAACAAATTACCTTTTTAACGTTGAAATTGTATTGATAGACAGAGTTTAGAAATATCTGTTCCATATCTTTGTACTCTTGTTCATCTTGTTTAAGATCAACCACGCTAAGATTCCCTCCTTGTAAATCACCCCACCTAGGTGGAATATCAGTTGCACCTCCTGAAATCGTAAGAAACATGATAATTGCTTGAGATATTATCTTATTGTCTATAAGTTTAAGTCTACTTCAACAAAATTTCTTCTTCCTTTAAAGATATGTTAGGCTTAAACTTGATATTTGAAAGAACTTATAAGTACTATACAGTGTATAATATACAATAAAGATCTTTCGAGTACACACAGAGAAGATATGTTGCGATTTAAAACCTACACACTGTAGGTTGAAACTGTATGAATACAAAAATATCATATAACTTGCAGATTTTAGTTGTTTTTCTTTCTTTACAAAATGGCCAGATAAACTTGACCAGATATAGTGAATGCAGCTTCCCAAATATAGTTTGTGCATTCTTTTATTCAAATTAGACATATTCAGAAAGAATTTCCTAGTAGATTTCAATAAATCTCTGCAATAAAAGTATTTCAAAGATGTAGATTCAATACTGAATTCATTCAACGAGTTCAAGAAATTAAGGAACCTTGCGAATGTTACATTCTATTTATCACATTTCCAAAATAAAGAAATAAAGGCTGTTTAAAGTGCAAAAGAGTCAATTTTCTTCGAAGGCAGAATGCGACCCTTTGCAAACTTTTGAGTAGCCTCTTGAAAATTGGCATGCAGAAAGTTGACCATATTTCTCATTATGTTTTGTTGATTTTATTCCAATAGTTTCAGCCAATTTTTGTACACAAGACGTCAAAGTTGACCATCAAAGCCCGTTTTTGAACATGATGTCGTTGCGTATCCTTGTCAACTGTCACTGGTATCACAACGCCAAAGGCGGACAAAATATCTTAAATTCTACAGCATTCGTCGGAAATTCTACCTTAACGCGTCTTTACACAATGTTTGTGTAACGCAAATTACGTCACGTTAAAATATTTGCACGAACGGCGATGCAAAAGCATTTTATGGAGTCGTAAAATCGGCACGGGTCTGTGATTAATTTTATTCAATAACTTCAAAGCTATTTTTATCTGATTTCTCTTGCAAAATGTAAAACGACTTCGTATGCATTTTTGCTTATTAAAAAAAAAGATTTTGACAGTAAATTTGAACAATGCCTTTAATTCATTCACATCTTATAGTCACTGTTCTATGGTTAATTCCTTTTGTGAGAAAATCGCATACAATAATTTTATGTTAACTCCACTCATACCCTTAACAACATTTCTCCTGAGCACCTTTAACACGTTTGACTTGTCATCTTCGGGATATTCTTCCATTCTTTCAAAGTCAATTATGTATTTCTTTCCATCATAGCTATAGAGACAAACATAATGTTATTAAATAATTGAAACAGTAATGAGGTGGTACTTATAAAAATCCTTCTAGAAAAATTAACATATATATTCGATCAAATGTATTGCTTACAATGGCATAGTGAAAAATAAATAGACTTACATGTATAAAAATGAAATATAAATTGAATTTGTAAAACATTACTTATGTCCTAAATCGCTTCAACAGTTTGTGTAAATCAAAGCATTGTTCGTTTTTCTGTGAAAATATTCATTATGTGTATTAAAAATAGTAATATTGGAATCATATATGTATCTTTTTTATTTCTTTTTAGATGTCAAGGAAATGTCGGCAAAACTTTAACAAACGGGGATTGTTTTGAAATAAACACGTAAACACGCTATCATAATTAAAACTTCCCCGGTATATGATTTATTACAGTCGACATGCTTATCATTGAAAAGAAGGAAAACAATAACGACATATTTACCACTAGTGAATTCTACAAAAACGAGTATACTTGACTGACTTTTATGACAAGAATCACCAGCGGCCTAACTCATTTCTTTTAAGAGATAGCAATTTACCGTATTGAATTTTTACTCGAACATTTTTTAATTTGGTTTTGTAAAAGAGAAATAGTATAGATTTAAAATCAAACGAACTAAAGAAATAAATGATTTATGTAATGCAATGAAAATAACAATCATGAACTTCAAAAATGGATAAATATATGAAAATAATTTTCTAACATATGTGTCAAAATTGACATTCTAATATGCAACAACTTAGTGAAAGAAACTATTTACCTGTATCCCATCTGTCTATCATTTTGTTTGTATGCAGTTTCTATCTTTAAGTTGAGATCTCTGTCATACTCAAGAACCTCGTCCCCATCGTATGTTACTTCAATGAAATACCATTGGGCAATGTTGGACATGTAGTCTATTTGAATTGCATTCTTGATGAAACTTTAAAAAATGCCAGAGAAATTGTATTTAATATCAAAAACTACTCTCCACAATCATCAAAAATGAGGTAAATTGTCATAATGAAATGCAAAATTTATATTTACGTTAAACATGTAACTGATGATGAGAATAAGTAAGCAATAGATTTGACAGTCTGTCAGTCAATAGTATGTTCTGGAAGTTCATTTAATTTTGCATTATTGCATTATCAGGTATCAAATCAAATGCATGTTCTTTGCATTTGCTTTATGTGTGTGTTTATTTGCTTTATCATACAAGTATAATTCACCAACAAAACAAAAGTGGAAAGAAAACACGGATCAGCTGTATATCTGGTTATAAACAATATACTTCAGATATTTGGCAGAATTAATTCATATTATTATTATTATTATAGACTTGCGGCTGTTTGTTACTCATATCAAAAATACCTCTGAATTTTATCATATGCCTCGAAAAAATTGTCTTTCATTCCGCAAATCTTTATCATACATTTTTGTTTGTCTATTTTAATTTCACTGTTATGTTGAAGTGCGATTGATCTAATTTCCCCAACCTGCAATGAAAATTAAAATCATTGGTGTTAATTGTTACACTTTATAGTTTAAATGAAAGCCTTAAACTTTCAAAAACTAACACCAAATGGACTCATAATAAGACCATCATAAAACTCGGTTCGATTTTGAGTAGCATCTACCCTCAATGGAATTTTAAAGGTACAAAAGTCTATAACATAAAATTTGAATTTCTTACATGGATTAGCTGGCGTACTTTAAATAGATAAATATGCAAAAGACTATTCGGAAATGCAGTCATAAATAAATAGAAAATCGAATTTTTGTTATTTTTATTCAGTTTTGAGTGAAAAGCGTTGCAACGCTTTACAATGCCTGGTCATTTTTCACAATAAGAATAATTATTCTAGACAAACGGACTGAGCAAAAATTTTTGTAATTTTGGTCTAGACCTACATCAAATGGAAGATTAAATTGGAAAAATCATTTCTAGTCTTGTCATGTCAAAAAACTCCGAGAGAAACTTTTGTGAGTGTATTACGATTTTTGCATAGGACTATTGTGTCAATAAAATACAGCCGAACATGGGTACCATTATTAATTTACGGTGGGGAAATAATATTTTAAGACAATCATTATAATATCATTGTAACGTTAAACGAAGAATAATGTTTCAAACCAAAAGATGTCCATTTGTTAAATTTGCAGAATAAACCAGTCCGATAAAATGTCATATACATTTATTTACTTCCCGACATTAAGTACACTTTGGGCAAAGATTATTTCACTATTTTGGGTGAATTTTATTCAGTTTATGACAAATTCAGTATTACTGCAGGGAGGACGAGTGGTCATCCACATACCCGAGTTACCGATTTTCTTACAATTAGTCATTAAATCAATTTTATTCTTTAAAATTTACATATGCTTCAGTCCATTTGCCGGTAGTATCCGTTTTTATACCATTTTTACTTTATCGGAAAAGATAAAAGGAATAATGTGATAATGTTTTTTAGATATATGTAATATATAATACATTCAAATACCTGATTCGTATCAAGTTGCTGTATAATGTAATCAGTGAATATCTTTGACTCCATTTCTTTTTCAAGAAATGAATCTAGTTTCCTTATCGCTTTGTCCATTTCATCTTCGCCGAATGAATAGATGCAAAATGTAACTTTGTTGACATCAGAATCTTTTTGACTTTCATCAGAGTTTTCCGAATTGTTCACCTATAATGTAGTGTTGTTGTACATGATAAGCATCTGTGTAATCTGGCCTGTGTCACCAGATAGTTAAAACTTACGGAAAAGGGATAATCCATTCAATCGATTAAAACATTAAATAAGCCGCCCCATGTGAAAATCAACATAGTGCAAACATTTTCATAGTTTACAAGTGTGTGAAAATACGATAAATCTCAGTGACTATGTTACCGGTTTCATTGCTGTCCAGTAATTTAAAGTTTATAAAAGTGAAAGAAGAAATAAATTTGTGTAAGGATATGGGTGTAAATATTTGTCAATTTTTTTTTTATTTATTTATTTATTTTATTTTTTTTGCATGACTTCTACTGCAAGATTATATGTAAAGTAATCATAACATATAGTTACATCGCAGGTGTAACATAGCATTTGAATTACATCTACCTCAAAATACCTGTATGAAATGTACAAAAGGAATAATGTAGTATGAAAATGCGCGAACATTGAAGATTTATACTACCACGAGAATTGTATTTACGACAAACTTAATATGCATGGTATTATGCTCTCCTCTGATCTTTGTAAAGGTTTTTAAAGGTAAAGTTTTCAGTAATAATTTTTGGGTGGCATGTAGCGCTCTACATAGATCAGATATATGACAGGATGTATCTTAGGAAGCGAGCCCGGGTATTGGCAGACTTTAAAGCGTCTTATGGTATCTTTCTTCAGCTTAATTGCTAAAACCGTATATTCATTTATCTCGTTTTCATGTTTTGTTATGCTACATTGTACAGTGTACACTATAATATACCTGTAGACAGATTACACTACGATATTTCCATGACAACGGAAGTGGTATTTCGCGAACGATTTCAGCGACAACAGCAACGTCGCTATTAGTTAGGGCAAAAAATATTTGGAAAATAATACAATTTTATTATAAGTCAACAATTTTATCAGCATGCTGATTTTATCCATGACAAAATCGGAAATTTAAAGAGCAAAATGAGCGATGCAGAAGAGAAGTGTATTAAAATTTATGTAAACGCTTGAAGATTGCCTTATAAATTTCGTATAAAAGCATTTATTCAAAATGAGGTTAATTATGCGTGTTAATGCAGTAACCTTTTTTCTTTCTTCATATTTGTGCTCACATTTTGCTGTTTATTGTGTTTTATCTGCACGTATCATATGCGCAAATACTAAAAAGGAAATGTATATTGTTTACGCGTGTAATTCGTAATGACGTTGCTGACGTAATACTATTACGTTACGGTAAAATATATAATTTAGATTGCTTGTATTTGCTCTCATGGAGTTAACTACAACAGACTGTACTCAAACTGCGTCTCGTAAGATCGTAACCTTTTAATCATTTATGACTTTCATAAGAGAGGGTCATGATGGTAGCCTGTGTTTAATGCACACATGCACAAGATATCTTAATTTAACCACTGTTATTGATAGGCAAATAACCCTATTAAAAACGGGTTAACATACATGTATATAAGAAAGTGGTATGATTTTCATGTTATTTATAATTGAAGCATACAAACAGCAATGCTATTTATTAGACTATGTAATGATTTTAACAATCTTGTATAAGGTAATTTCTGATGATTTGTAAATTAAATGTTGTTTAAAGGTTATTTCATACTTTAAGACGTACTGCTATCTTGTTGAACAGATTGTATCACGTAAAACGTCAATTTGCAATTTATATGTTGTTGTTTCTTTTTTATTATTGTTGTTGTTGTTGTTGTTGTTCGGGTTTTTTGTTGTTTTTTTTTAAATCTGAACTGTTTTTCACACATTGTCAGATAAGTGCGTCCTTTTTCACAATCTAAAGGAAAATAACGCTAAAATTGCACAATTACAAGAAAAAAGTATTTGTATTTCACAAATCAAAGAGACTAGATCCCTTCAACGGAACCATTTGTGCACTTTTGTAAAGGACTACCTTGATTATTTCTATTTACTTTCATCAAAAACTACCAAAAAATTCAGAGGGAGAAATCGCTGTTATGTTGTTTTTTTTTAGTTTGTTTATGTCTAGTTTCATAATTATTTGTGTAGGAAGACATATTGTTTAAGTAAAAAAATGAAATGACGAACGACGGGACAACTGACGACGTACGCCAGACATGGGGGTATCACAATAGTTAACCTTGAGGTTGTTGTGCTTAGGTAAGCTAAGATGATAGCTCGGATCAATAATATAAGCACAATAATGGATAAAATTAAAACAAGGTATATATACGGCAATTGACAAGTCGTTTCTAACTGTATATTATGATCTAAATATAGAAAAGACAGGTAAATTTGAAGCGTGAATTGTAAAATGTTTATGCATTCGCAAAATATTTATACTAATGTGTCTAAATGTTTGCATCTCTGTGTACCTTGTTTTTTAAATGTGTCAACATCCGAGATACCACATTTTGTTTGGTTTTCGTTTCACTTTCTGCGTCAAGTGTGGTATAAAATGGATTAAACATTTCTCTTTGAAAAACCACAAACCGCACATCCCTTAAATGTTTCGGGTTCTTACTTGAAAACGTTTTGACAGCCCTTGTCATTCCTTTAGCACATTTTGGTATATTTGGCACACCCCATATAAGTCCACCTGTAAAGAAATGGGTTTTAAGTAAGAGTTCAGTTACTTCTCTTCTTCAAATAATATATTCTAGACAAGCTTAAAATTTCCGCTGTTTACCATAATTATTTGCATTATTTCCAGTTTCAAGTAACATATTTCGTCACTTTTGGTGCAATAATCGGCATCTTCTGACAATCATATTCACATTAGGCAAACAAAGTTGTAAAACAAAACAAAAACTGGAAAAGTGTGATTCCTTGGAACAAATGAAATAAACAATATTACTTTTTAAAAATGCAGACTTAAGAAATAGCCACATAAAGTATAATCATGACATTTTTTAGTTAACTCAAAACAATCTATACACAAAGATTCGCTTGTAGAAAGTTATATATCAGAGATGTTATATTTCTGATTTTTGAAGATCGTTCAGTACGACATTTTTGTTGTGTTCTTGGTACTTTTAGTGTTTTATCGGCATTTTTCTAGATGGGTGGTTCCAATATTCCTACTTGAATAATTTTTATGTTGCCTGCTTTTTAAATTTGGCTATGGACGTTTTATCTTTGATATTTAGGCTTCATAACCTCTGATTCCCTTTCAAAATTCCATTTCATCTAGTTTCGACCTTTGTTTTCTCGTTTGGGGCGTCCGTGGCCGAGTGGTTAAGGTCGTTGACTTCAAACCACTTGCCCCTCACCGCTGTGGGTTTGAATCCCGACAGTAGCTTTGGATTCTTTCATGTGAGGAAGCTATCCAGCTAGCTGACGGATCGTCGGTGGTTCTACTCAGGTGCCCGTTCGTGTCTGAAATGCACGGAAGGGCACATGAGGTCTTCCTCCACCAGTAAAGCTGGAACGTCGCGATATGACCTATACTGTGTCGATGTGATGTAAAACCCAAAACAAAACAAAAATAAATAAAATTGTTTCCTCGTTTAGGGCAAAGGCTTTTTTTACGTAGTTTTGAACATTCTTTAAAGATTCCTATTTTCTCTATTTAAGCAAGATGTTGGATAATTACAAAATGTGTTTTAAAAAGTCTTTATGAATACTTTATATCTAATATTTCCAAAAATAACTTACCTGTGCCAAGAGCTGGAAATGCGATGCTTATCATGTTTTGTTTTTCTGCTTCGTTTAAACAATTGAATACATCATTTTGTAATCCATTTCTTGCATTCAAAGCAATGTGCAAAATTGTCTTACTAGGTAGATTTGGAGCACTAGTTATTACTAAATGCTCACTGTTCATCATACTCTCTGAAATTAGCATATATATTAACGTATGAAATACACTTTGACTGAATGACCAATAATTAGATGTGAATCATAAATATGTTTGATGCAATACAAATGTATTTCACTGTATTAATTTCTTTCCATCGATTACTCTTACGTTACCTGAATGTTATACTATAAATGAATATTTTATATGAACACAAAATAATTAACATGATAACATTTAGTTCTCTTGGTAATCATAGATACTACAACAAATAGCTATAGTTTAACGTCTCTCTACTATATAAAAACGGAAAGGCTAACACAATTGCTAAATATTCATTTTTTTTACTTTTCTGATCAATTTCTTTTTGCAGGCTTTGACCCCTCTTTTGCAAAATAGCTTTGGATACAGCACCTACAAAAATAAAGTGTATTTTAATTGAGTCTGACAAATAACTGTGCAATCCATGTGAGAAGTTTGTCATGGAAATAGTTAAATCACCAGATAAAGTTACTACAAAATTGAATTCTTTATAATTATTTTATGTTGACAATGTAAAAATAGCATGAGTAATATAATTGAGATATGTGATTTAGATAAGTGCTTATAGAGATATATTTGGTTCAGTTTTAAAACCTTTAAAACCATCAGACAATTTTGATCTCAAAAGCGATCCGATCTTTTAATGCATTACTAGGCTGTAAATGTTTCATTTTTTCTTTAGGAAAAAATAAACATCACGATAAATAACTGTTTCGATAAAAGATTTGTAAACATGTGTAAATCATTCATTGGCACTGTTTCACGTTGACACAGATAACCATTTAACTTGCATTACGAGACTTTATTCAATTAAATTATAAATAAGATTAAATATAAATTTAATTAAGATATAATTCACTTGAAAGCGAATAGATTAAATAACACTGTCATACCAATTGACATGTCCAGGTCTTCGTTTGTACTATTTACTATGCAGTGTGTTCCCTCTGCGAGCAGATCTCCAAATTTAACAGTAACTTGGACATTTCCAAACATACGAGTTATGGTGTAACTGTCTTCCAAAGGAGTGTCACCACTCAAGTCTGTAACATAAATATACATATTTATATGCTTTATAATTGTTTTCACCATCACATGGGGGCTTAAAAATTCAAAAAATTATGGCCCAAAAACAAAAAAATAA